TGCAGGGACTGGAGGCATAAGGAGGTGAATGTTGGGACATCCTTTTGGCCATCACTTCAATCCGTCATTATTATGGCACAGAGAATGGGGAGATGGGTTTTGGGGCATTTCTTATGGCCATCACTTCATCATTATTGTGGCACAGGAAATGGAGACACAGGGAGATGGATTTTGGGGCATCTCTTATGGCCATCACTTCATCATTATTGTGACACAGAGAATGGAGACGTGGGGAGATGGGTTTTGGGACATCCCTATGGCCATCACCCCAATCCATCAGCACTTTGATGCAGGGACTGGAGGCACAGGGCACCAGGGTGCCTCTTGCAGCCATCCCCAGGGCAATATCCCCCTGTTCAGCCCACCTGTGTGCTGGACAGGTACTTCAGGCCCCCATGGACACTCCCCTCTCCTCTCAACCACCAGTCGCACTCAACCCTGCCTGGTAGTAAATGAGCAACAAAGTAGCTCAGGGAGGAATTTCCAGCTCAGTGAGGAGTTTACAGGCCGGTGATTAAAAAATAGTTATTAAAAAAAAATTAGACAGAGAGGGAGAGAAAAAAAAAAAAAGGAAAAAAAATTAGCTGTGCCGCCGGCACGTCTTCCAGGATCTGCCGTAACAGATTCGTCCAAGCCGGTTAACGGTATTTGCGGTTTGCAAGATGCTACATGTCTGGGGAAGATGACAGACACGTTATTATCACCTCTCGCCTGAGATCTGCCCCAACCTGTCCCAGGATGCAGCTCTGCAGCTGCTTGCTGGGGAGTGCAAGGAAATTAGCAGCCGGAGGCAGCGCTTTTCTTTCTCTCTCTGCCTTGCCAGGCCAGTGGCTTTATTGGGGATCCATTGACTGCAGTCCTGGACACGTCTTGAGTAAAGCTAATGAGAAGGCTGGAATGTAGGAGAAGAGGAGGAGGAGGGGAGGATTTGTGGAAAAAGCAATTGTTGAGCAAATCATTTCCTTCTAGAGGGAAAGGAGGCCTTGGCTGCGCCTTCCCCAACAGGCAAGTCTAGACGCTTAGGTGTCAACAGTTGAAGATAAATAAGATTTTATCGGCTCCAAATCTGTTGGGACACATCCTCCTAGCGGTTCTGCTGCCCAGGGACGGCTGGGCGAGATGGACTTGGCCAGGAAGGCTTTCCAGCAGAGGATTCAGGTTATTTTTTGTGTAAGGCTGTCAGCATCCATGGGGAAAATCACCTCTCCCTGCTCATTTCCTGCATGGAGAGGCAGCCCTGGGGCTGAGCAGCCTCTGGAGCCATCTCCTGGTGCTCTCTCAGGGTGGGCAGTGATGGATGCTGAGGCTCCACATCCAGGAGCCATTGTGGGTCATTCACTCAGTGGAATCTTGTGGTGTCAAGAACATTTCCTTGGGGCAGCAGCACCAGGAAAACCATGGCGAAGCCTCAGAGTGGCTGGTGGCACCATGGGGTGACTGATTTATGTCCTGTTCCATCTGGCAGTGGTGCAGCATGGTCTCATCTTACCCAAAAAGCAGCTAACTGCATTTCAAATGCATCCAAAGTGGTACCAAGCTCTTGGGGAAACAGAGCTTAGAGCTAATACGCTGCTAGGAGTTAAATAATTTGGTTTTTCCATTTTTTTGGCTTATTCCTAGTAATCTGGACAGACAGCAGTAGCAGGGAAGGGACAGAGACAGAGCTGGCATCACAGTATCAGCCCAGAAATTGGGGACAACACTGAAAGCTGCAGGAAATCCCAAAGGAACAGAGGTTCTGTGTGTTTCCACAGGCTCCAGGGGAGACTGTCAGTGCTGCTGCTGCTCTGTGCTGGTTCAAGCAACCCAGCACCCACAAGCCACAGAAACCTTTTGTATTCCTCAAACATAAATGAGGAATACTCAATAACAGACAGTCTACAATGTTTTCCAGGAACAGAGATGACCTGAGTCCTCATGTAACCATGCAGACAGACACCAGAGGTCCCCAGGGTAGAAAAGGGTGTGGAGACACAGACAGGAGATGCCCAGGGCAGAACATACCCTGGCTTCTTTGTAGGTGTGAAAGGAATCCTGAAGCTGAGGTCTGGACATGTCAGGAAGGGGTTCAGGTGCCCCAAAATGTTGTTGTTATGCCTTGCAGCAAGTTGGCCACAGCTCAAGTGACCTGAGCTTTGGCTGTCACATGTGGCCAGTCCTGAGAGGTCAGTTTGTCTAAACCCTGCAGAATGGGAAGGATGTGGGTGAACAGACTGAGGTTCCCCCATGCAGGTGGCAGGAACACAGCCATGGCACACAGAGAGCCAAGCAGCAGCGCTGGTTTGAGATTAAATCCCATCATTTTGATCTCTGGGCTCTGCTCTGCCACTGCCTCATGTCACACTTGAGCAGCACATGGTGCCTGTGGTCCCTGCAGGGTGCTGTGCAGGGTATGGCTGTGCTGGGAGATACCAGGACCTCAGGTGATGCAGCACAGCCCAGCAGAGATGTGCATGGGACTGATAATTATCAAATACAGATAACAGAGGAGAGAGATGTCTGCTCAGGGACACTCTACACAGTGCAGGTTTTGCTGTCCTCTAAGAGTTGTGCATTGCCAAGCTGGGGATGCAGAACCTCCTGGCATCCCAAAAACACAATGCTGGTTGTCCTGGTGGCCATGAGCAGCCTGGCTCTGTGAGACCTCTCAGCCCTGGCTGCAGCTGGAGATGTGGCACAGGACAGCTCCACAGGGAGAGGAATCAGCAGCACGGCCGCCCAGGGCACAGCCTGGACTTTTCTTGCCCAGAATTATCAGCAGGGAGTTCCTTAAAAGAATAGTTTGTTATTGTGGAGGGATCTTTGAAGGCGATCCCGGAGCTGTTGGGACATGATAAGGTTATCAGCAGAGGCAAGTCTGCACGGAGCGGCTGCCTTCCCCCTGCAGGGCATCACTCTGCTATTTAACAGAGATTTATCCATGTCATAACATGGTATAATGAGAGAATTTGTTACCAAAGAACTTGCCATAATGCACCTCTGCTCTTCCAGAGCAGTTATAGTTCCCAGGCATGTTGAGGGCTGCCCGGGAATGTCTACATGAAAAGATCCTTTGACAGGAGTTGTCAGTATTTTAACACCTGGCAAGGAAGAGCCCCCTCCAAATAACCCTTGTTTTGCCACCGTGGCTCCTCTAAATGAGGGTGTTAAACCCCATTTTGTGGTGGGTGAGCGGGTCCCTGCAGCCACGGGGGAGTTTCCAGCCAGGCAGAGCAGAGTCACCACGTTGTGAGTGGAGCCCACGCTTCCAGCTCAGGCCTGAGAATCCCTGAGAATCCCTGCTGGGGATGCAGGATCACACCCAGGAAGCCAAGCTGGCTATGGAGTCAAGGTGTAGTCAGCATCATCCGGTATGAGTGCAAAATTTGGGGATTTCTGTAGGGGTTTCCAAGCATCCTCTCTTGTTGGGTGAGTCCAAGTGCCTACAAAAACAAGGATTAATTCTTGTTGTCAGGTTCAAATGCATGTTGTACCTTTCAGCCACCATCCTCCAGAGACCACAGCATATTCCTGCTCCCCCAGCACTGAGCAGGGTCTGATCTTGGGACACCCAGGACACCCCATTGAGCAGGTTCTGATCTTGGGACACCCAGGACACACCACTGAGCTGGTCCCTGCAGCTGGCCACAACCAGTGCAGTGCTGGAGGAGCTGCAGGAGCTGCTGTTTGCCTTGGCAGATCCTCTGCCCATTATGTCTTCCCAGAGACCACCTAAATGAGGCAAACCCAGAAATGGTTTCTGTTGTTTGCTCTGTCCCAGTCCTGGTGGTGGGAGCAGCTTGCTCAGCCATGGATGGATCTACTCCTGCAGCCAGTGCAGCAGGACTGGCAGACACAAATCCTTCCTGCCTGACCCACAGGTGCACTGGGACTTGTCACAGCCAGGAAAACTGGGGACTGAGCCATCACTGAGCCCCTGAACACCCTCCAGCCCTGTGCTGAGCCCCTGTTTTGGGCAGCCCCAGCTCAGGAACTGCCTGGCACGGGGAGAGCAGAGCCTGCCCTTGGCACACCTGTATTTGGATGGCTCAGGACAAGCTTTAACATCCCCACAAACGCTCTCTGCACGGTGGTATTTTTTTGGCACTGGGCTCTGTGTTGTGGGGATGAGATAAAATACCTGGAGCAGGAACATGCCCTGCCATGCAGGGACGGGCTGCTCCGAGCACAGGGGTGGGCTGGTGTATAGCAAACACATTCCTTGCGAGGTGGAAAACAGCGTGGCACGGCTGGGGTGGAAGGGGATTGCACATCCCCACAGCTGGGCAGTTCCTGGAAGGTGAAGGACAGGCTCTCCTTCCCCTCCTTCTCTGGAGGGGCACAGGCTGCAGCCCCCAGAGCTTCTCCCATCCAAGTTTGCCACTGAGCAAAATTCACTTTGTCCTCACAGGGAGGAATTTGGTGGCCACACACCATTTTCTACTCAGCAGTGACTGCTGGCACTGCCTGCAGCTGCCACAGAGCATCCTCCTCCCTCAGCCAGCCCAGAGAGTGGTCTCCATCCTGTCCCCACCCTGTCCCCTCCATGAACCACTGCTGCTGCAAAGGACTGAGTCAGGATCAGGACAAACTGTCAGAACTAAACTCCATTAGCTGTGACACTGCTGATGGCACCAAGCATGATTTGCTCAGGCTGTGGTTTGTCAGTGCCCTGAGTGCTCCGTGTGTGAGAACAGACTTGGGAATATTTCCAAAACAGGCTGAGTGATGGACAAACGAGGATTTTGGTGATTTCCAGTGAGATTCCCTCAGTCTCAGTGCAGTGGTGCCAGAGCCCTTGCCCATCTGGGAAACCCTTCCCTGCCCCAAGAGGTGGCTGTGTCTGTTTTACATGGAAATATGGTATGGGTGAAATTGTCAGATTTCAACATTTCCATGGAAAGGGAAGAGAAGGAAGCCTTGCCTTTACATCAGAGCAGCAGACGAAGCTGAGATTGGATGGAGGAGCTCCCTCCACCCCACCAGGGATGCTCACCTGAGGGATGTCTCCTGTTTTCCAGTACTCCCCGCTGCTGAAGAAGCTCTACTGTCAGATCGCCAAGACATGCCCCATCCAGATCAAGGTGTCCACCTCACCACCCCCGGGCACCATCATCCGGGCCATGCCTGTTTACAAGAAGGCAGAGCACGTCACCGAGGTGGTGAAACGCTGCCCCAACCACGAGCTGGGCCGTGACTTCAACGACGGTGAGGGCTGCATGTCCCTGGTGTCACCACCCTCCTGTGCTCAGGATGAACCATGGCTCTAACTGCAGGTTTTCCTTGCAGGCCAGTCAGCCCCTGCCAGCCACCTCATCCGGGTGGAAGGCAACAACCTGTCCCAGTACGTGGATGACCCGGTGACGGGGCGGCAGAGCGTGATGGTGCCCTACGAGCCCCCTCAGGTACCCAGCTGCTCGTGGTGGGGACAAGGACCAGCCCTGCCTCCCTGGTTTGGGGTGCTGGGCCCCATGTACCCCTTGCCCTGGCACATCTGAGACCACTCTGTGCTCATGCTTGGGGCTGGTGGCAGCTACACTCCAGAACCTGCAGCTCCCAGCCCTGTGAAGCATCCCAGAGCAGCCTGGTCTTGGGAAGTGGGGTATAACGGGATATCCCATCCACTCCTTTCCTGGGTGTCCTTACAGTCCTTGTGCAGTCCCCTTTTTCCAGCTGGGACCATCCCCAATGTTCCCCTGCTCATCCTGCCAAAGCACCAGCTTTGTGCCAGAGGGTCCAGCCCTGATTCTTCACTCCATGGGGATCCCAGCCTGCTTCCCCTCCTCTTCTTCACTCCCTGGGGATCCTGGCCTTCCTCCCCTCCTCTTCTTCACTCCCCGAGGTTCCCAGCCTTCCTCCCCTCCTCTTCTTCACTCCCCGTGGATCCCATCCTGCCTCCCCCCATCACTCCCCACTCAGCACCTGCTCTCCCCTCCCGGCCAGGTGGGGACCGAGTTCACCACCATCCTGTACAACTTCATGTGCAACAGCAGCTGCGTGGGAGGCATGAACAGGAGGCCCATCCTCATCATCATCACCTTGGAGACAAGAGAGTGAGTGGCTGTGGGAGCAGGGATGGGCATCCCTCCCATCGAAGGAGGGCTGGGGAAGGAACTCTCCTTTTCAGGGAGCATCCCCAGGTGTCAGAACTCAGCGCATCCCTCTGGGTGTCCAGAGTTGCCAAGGACCCCATCAGGGGGCTCAGAGACCCTGGCATGCAGCCCAGAGCACCTGGGGATTTGATTTTGACCCCTGGAGCAAGTTACCAGCTTTGTGTGAGGACCTGAAAGTCACACAGGTTTGAATAGTATAATAACAAAATGATCACAGGGTGAAAATGTAGATTTTAGGATTTTTGGCATGGGGGTTATGAGGACAAGATGGAGGAATCAGGGCATGTCCAGCCTTTCTCCTTCTTCTTCTTGTTCCCCATTTTCTGCAGTGATGTTGGCACTTTGGGATTGGTTTAGAGTAGAAGTGCACTGTCTAACACAGGTGATAGGTATTGGGAATTAAGTGTAAATATGTTATACGTAGTTTGTAGTTTGCAGTATAAAAGGACAACACAGAGTGCCTGTGGCTGCCCTGCTGTGCAGACCTCAGCTGGGCAGAAAGAAAATTTTATAGATAAGAATTGATAAACAACCTCAAGACCGAAAAGTGAAGAGTCCAGACTCGTTCTTCAGCCACACGGGCCAAAGCAGAGACATCCTGCACATCTCGGGGCAGCAATTAACAACCAAAACCCGAGACCCAGGGAAAGGGATGGGGCAGCCCCAGCTCTTTGCACAGCAATGCTCCCTCTGCCAGCTTGGAGAGGAGATGGCATGGAGGGACCAGGGACTGCTCAGCTGGAGCCTTCCTCTGCCCCAGGGGCTTGCTGAGGGTCGCTGGTGTAGTTTCTGCCCTTCCCAAGGGGAAGCAGGGCCACTGATTGCACTGTTCTCCCAGCGGGCAGGTCCTGGGGAGGAGATCCTTCGAGGGGCGGATCTGTGCCTGTCCTGGCAGGGACAGGAAAGCTGATGAGGATCATTTCCGAGAGCAGCAAGCCCTGAACGAGAGCACGGCCAAGAACGGCAACGCCAACAAGCGCAGTGAGTGCCCTGACAGGGGTGGGGGGCTCAGGACACCCAAAATCCCTGCCCTCCACAAGTCTGGGCTCAAATCCACACTCTGAGATGATGCTTTGACCTTTCTCCACTAAATCTCATAAGCTGGACCCCCACCCTCTCCTCACAGAGCCTGGGCATGGCTCTCATGGCTGGATATATAAATTCATTATTGACAATAACAAAGGGACCCTCCCATGCCAGGCCCCAAGGGAATGGATACCTTTTTTACAAAATTATTAACAAAATAAGAATTATTTCATGAACCTAAAAGCATCAGGAAAAACACCTCAGGAGAATTAGCAATATGTACAGTAATATAAACAAAAGTATATTTCTCCTATGAAATCAACTTTCACAGCCTTTCATGTGAAGTCTTACCCGTGTATTCATAACTTTCAAATCAGAGCTTGAAAACACAATAAAACCCACACAAAAAAAACCCACAAAGCCCCGCCAGAATATATTTTCCAAAGCTATGATTACCTGGTAATCAAATAACTTTTAATTTACCAGTAAGCAAATAACTTTTAAAATGTTCAATATACCACGAAAAATTTAGCTTCATAAACTTGTTCATAACATCATAATATTCCCTGTTTTGTATGATGCATAACCTGAATTTTTTCATAGAAAAGAAATGTGGTCTGATTTTAAAAAATATTAATTTTAATTTTAATATCCTGCACAGCTTGAGGTGCCCCCTGCCATGTCTTGTCTCCCACAACTCTATCAATTCTCTTCTCCTCTCCTTTCCAGCCTTCAAGCAGAGCCCCCAGGGCATCCCAGCGCTGGGCACTGGCATTAAGAAACGGAGGCACGGGGAGGAGGAGATGTACTACGTGCCTGTAAGTGTGGGTGAGCTGCAATGGGGTCAGAAATCCATTTGGGACAGTGGTGGGACATCGTCCCCTCTGCCAGAAACACCTTGGGGAGGGGATGTGGGGAGGGGATGTGGGGAGGGGATGTAGGGGCCTTGGGAATAGGAGCAAAAGCATCCATGGACACACATGTCCAAGGGATTGAGGCATCCCAAACAGTCCCTGGCCACAGTGACAGTCTGCTGGGTGGAAAAAAAGGGAGAATGAGGAATTGGCCAGGTGGGATGGGAATAAAGCAAAGTCCTGGTGTTGTTCCCTCCTCCAGGTGCGAGGCCGGGAGAACTTTGAGATCCTGATGAAGATAAAGGAGAGCCTGGAGCTGGTGGAGCTGGTCCCACAGCAGCTGGTGGATTCCTACCGGCAGCAGCAGCAGCAGCTCCATCAGAGGCAGTGAGTGCTGCCCCAGCCCCTGAGACCCCCAAAACTCCATGAGACCCCCATAGTTCCTGAGACTCCCATAGCCCCTAAGACCCTCACAGCTCCTGAGACCCCCACAGACCCTGAGACCCCTATAGGCCCTGAGACCCTCACAGGCCCCAAGACTCTCACAGCTCCTGAGACCCTCACAGGGCCTGAGACCCTCACAGACCCTGAGATCCTCACAGGTCTCAAGATCCCCACAGGCCCTGAGACCTCCACAGCCCCCAAGACTCTCACAGCCCCTAAGATCCTCACAGGCCCCAAGACCCCCATAGGCCCTGAAACCCCCACAGCCCGAGACCCTCACAGCCCCTGAAGACCCCCCAGTCCCTGAGATCCCCCCAGTCCTCCAGGCCCCTGCAGCCTCCTGAAACCCCCACAGTTCTGAGATCTCCACCATCACTGAGGCCTCCATCATCCCTAAAATCCCTACAAGTCCTCCAGAGCCCTGAAGCTCCTCAAGCCTCTGCAGTTCCTGAGACCCCCACAGTTCCTGAGACTGCCACAGTCCCTGAGACCCCTAAAGCCCCCTCAGACCCCTGCAGCCCCTCGAGACCCTCACAGCCTCTGAGCACCTTTATTAGGGAGGCTGGATGGGTTGGGAGGGAGCTCCAGGCCAGAGCAGGGCAGCTCCATCCCACCCACCCCAGTCTGACCAGAGTGTTCCCTCCCCAAACAGGAGCCAGCTGCAGACACCTTCCTCCTACGGCCCCGTCCTTTCCCCCATGAACAAAGTGCACGGAGGAGGGATCAACAAGCTGCCCTCTGTGAACCAGCTGGTGGGGCAGCCTGCCCAGCACGGCTCCAGCTCTGCACCCGGCCTGGGCCCCATGGGTACGTCCTCTGTCAGCAGGCTGGGCTCTCCCTGCCCAGAAATGGGGTTTATTACTGATTTCTTGATTTCTGGGGCCCTCCCTGGGGGTTCCCCTGTTGGGGAAAACTCTCATGGAGCAGTTCTGTGTCAGGAAAAGGAGATACACTTTTTCAGTCTTCAGCTAGTTGTTTATCGTTATCTTATCAAAACCTTGGCACATTGTCTACACCAGACTTTGAGCACAGGAAAAGCACCCCAAAAATGATGTACAGATGTACAGATGTACAGTTTCAAGGTCTTTTAAAGTTGCCTCATCCAATTAACTTTTAAAGCACATTTTATTTTTACCTGTCTACCAATAACTCATCCTTTGTCAGTCCACATAATCTAAAACTGTGGCTTTCCTTGACCAATCACCCTGTGCCACCAACACTGCAGAAAATGAAGTAAATTAAGAAGAAGAAGAAGCTTGGGACAATGTCCGATGTCTTCTATCTTGCCTCCATCTACTACATACTAAAAATCCCAAAACCTAACTTTCTCACCCAAGTGACATACTGCACTACTCTCTATAATGTATTTCATACTTCTGTGGACTTTAGTCTATCTTGAAGTCCTGGGAGCTTTCTCCATGGGTGAGGGTCAAAGCCAGTGCTTCTCTGGGGTCAGAGCAGACAGAGAAATATTTCCTGGGTTCCCACAGGTGTGGGTGGTTTCTAATGGGTGCATTTGTTGCCACTGCCTAGGACCTGGAATGCTGAACAGCCACCCCATGCAGAGCAATGGAGAAATGAATGGGGGCCACTCCTCCCAGTCCATGGTGTCGGGGTCCCACTGCACCCCCCCTCCACCCTACAACGCCGACCCCAGCCTCGTCAGGTAGGGAAGGCACCTGGTGTCCTGTCTGTCTGTCCTCTGTTCCTCGCTGTGTCCCTCGCTCTAACCTTCCCATCTGTCTGGCAACTGGTCAGCTGGCCACTGGCCCCAACTGAGAAATCACTGCTGCTCCTCTCACCTGAGCAACCAAAGCCCAGCTACCAATCAGTCAGGAGCCCCCACTGCCCTCATACACCTTCCTGATCCCTGATCAATTAGAAATTAAGTACATCCTAAAGAGGGTCTTGTCCTACCTGTCCAATGGCACATAGCTTTATGAGCTTCCCCCTTCCCCTTCCAGCAACACCTGGAAATTGCTATGTGGCTTATTTCAACCAGAAATGCATTAACAGCTCTGCAGGTTTTTCATGTTTTGGCCTTTAAAAAGACCACGGATGTTTTGACAGACCTTGGGCCAGCATCCACACAGGGCAGAGCCCAGGTCATGCCCTGATCCCCTTCCCCAGTAGCTTGAGCTCCCTCATATTATATGAGTTCCTGAGCCAAAATCTCAGATAATCAGGAGGAAAACATGTGTAGTTTTAGGAATGAACACAACCCCACAGTGTGCTTTGACCTTAGTGCCAGTGGAGCACCCATGGAGCTCTCCACATCCCCCACCTGCCATGGTCTGTCCCACAGAGATAGGACACAGCTGTTGTTCATGAGAACTTAATGCCACTTTATTTTCCAAACTTTCTCTGCAGTTTTTTAACAGGATTGGGGTGTCCAAACTGCATCGACTATTTCACCTCACAAGGGTTACAGAATATTTACCACCTGCAGAACCTATCCATAGAGGTAAATGCTTTGGGGAGATCTGTTCTTATACCACTTGTTTCCCACAGCTGTTGGTCTGAAAGTGTTTTGGAGGAAGGGAAACCTGTGCCCCAACCCCTCACACAGACTGTGTTCCCAGGATTGATGCCTGTCATTCCTGCCCCCTTGTTGGTCCTTTGGAGGTAGCTATTGCTCAGGCCTTGGTGAAAATCACAACCAGCCCCAAAAAACCACAACCAGTCTCAACTTCTTCCTCCAGACTCTCAGAAACAACAGAGATCAAAGATCTCCAGGCCAGAGCTCAGGGAGATTTTCCACCTATCACAGAGAACACAGCTGAGGTGCTCAGGGGAACACCCCATATCCCACAGAGCCAGCAGGGGCACTCCACAGCAGCTCAGGGAGGTTTAATCTGGTCTCACTTCTTCCCCTGCTAATCTTTAGAATGAAAGAGGCTGAAGTCTGGAATGAAATAACCCAGGTCAGGCAAAAGATGTCAGAAAAAGCATGGAGGGGATGCTGGAAATACCTGTGTGTGCCCAGAGCATCATCCTCTGCTGCTGGTACCAGGGGTGGCACCGGAGCTGTTCCAGAACCCATCAGAGGAACAAGAAAAAGGAAAATTCTGAACCCTTTGATCCATGGAAAACCCTGTAAATCCCTGAGATGGTGTTTTGACTGAGACAGAGCTCCTGCCCAACCCTGTTTTGACCTCGTTTTGCCCCAGGCAGGTGTAGCAGTGTCTCTACCTGGCAGCTGCAGCATCCCTCAGGAGAGATGATGATTTGTCACTGGTGGCTGGGGCCAGTTGTGTAACCTGAGCCTGGTTCTGGACCATTTGCTGAACTAACTCCATGACTGCCTGTCAGCTGTCCACGGGAACGTTTAGGAATGGCCAAAACTTGTGTCAGGGCAGAGCTGTGTGTCTGAGTCGTTTGTAGCTACTAATTGCATACTCGCTGTCTGCTCCAGTTAACACTCCCGTGAGTCTCTGTGCTGGCATTAACACAGACCCCTGGCAGCTCCCCCCTGTGCTGGTGTGTGTCCTGGCACATGTCCCCAGTCTGAGGTCACCCACCTCAGTGCTGGAGGCTGGTGCTACTCCAGCCTCCTGGGCCAGGACCAGAGCAGAGGCCATCCCAAGTGCACAGCCACAAGGATGCTCCACACGCTGCTCTGCAACCTGTGTTCAAGGGGAATGATCCCTTCCTTCCCTCCCATTTCCACATCAGTTTGATGTGAACCCTTCCCAAAATAACAACAAAAATCTCCAACCTGCAAACCTGCAGTTACTTGGTTACAAATGGGAAATAACCCAGGGTGTGTTGGTGTTCACAGGGGTCCCAGGATGAGGGAAGAGATGAGAATCTTGACTCCATGTTTCAGAAGGCTGATTTATTATTATATGATATATATTATACTAAAAGAAAATTATATATTAAAACTATACTAAAAAGAATAGAAGAAAAGATTTCATCAAAAGGCTAGCAAGGGATAGAAAGGAATGATAATAAAATCTTGTGACTGACCAGAGAGTCTGAGACAGCTGGAATGTGATTGGCCATTAACTAAAAACAACCACATGAGACCAATCAAAGATGCACCCGCTGCATTCTACAGCAGCAGATAATTATTGTTTACATTTCATTTCTGAGGCGTCTTCTCAGGAGAAAAAATCCTGGCAAAAGGATTTTTCATAAAATATGTCTGTGACAGCCAGGGGATGCATCCATGGCCATGGGTGCACCATGATGAACCCATGGCCATGGTGGCAGGTCCAGCTCTGCCGTGTTGGGCTTTGCGCCCATGTTTTCCCCCAAAAAACAACCTGGGGCTCTCTCCTGCTGGTCCAGCCCCATTCTGCCAGCCGTGCCTCAGCGGTGTTGTCCTTGCAGGATCTCGCAGCACTGAAGATCCCGGAGCAGTACCGCATGATCATCTGGCGGGGCCTGCAGGAGCTCAAGCAGAGCCACGACTACGGGGCCCAGCAGCTGATCCGCTCCAGCAGCAGCAACGCCTCCACCATCTCCATCGGCAGCTCGGGCGAGCTGCAGCGGCAGCGGGTGATGGAGGCCGTGCATTTCCGCGTGCGCCACACCATCACCATCCCCAACCGCGGCACCGCCGACGACTGGGCCGACTTCGGCTTCGACCTGCCGGACTGCAAATCCCGCAAACAGTCCATAAAGGAGGAGTTCACGGAGGGAGAGATCAACTGAGGGGCTCCAGACGCTGGCGGGGTGATAAATGCCCCTCCACCCCCTCAAAAATGTGTTTGCAGCCTTGGGCACCTGGAGAAGTTTAAGTTTGTTATATCCAGGGGAACTGCGGGCCCTGAGCCAGGCAGGAGGTGCCTGCCTGGGGATGAAACTGGAGGTGAGGAGGAGGAGGAAGGAAAGGAGGAGGGCAGCCGAGCCAGCTCAGCAGCCAGAGTGGGGTTTCTGCCTGCCCACAGCACAGGAGGCACTGTGTGGTTTGTGTTTTCCTGGAGCATCTCTGCATCCAGCAGTGTAAGGACAGCACGTTTTTCGCATCCCTGCTCACCGTCCGTGTTCTTCATGGTGTCCCAAACTGAGAGGGCTTTGTCACTGCAACAGACTCAGCCCTGACCTGTGCAGGGACCAGTGTAAAGCCACATCCTGCATTTCCATGGACTGCCAAATGCACCCCTTCCCTCTGTAGAGCCAGAAAGACCCTGTTTGTCCATTACCAATGTGTTCTTGTACTTAAAGGTTGGTGTATATATAAACAGAATGTACATACAGTAAACTCATTGTGCTGTAAGGAGAGAGATTTATTTTCATGTAAGCTATAAAAATTGATACTGACTCCTGAGACACTGCAGTGTCAAGTAAATTAATTCCATGTTGTAGCATGTAAACATGCAGACAATCCTGTCTCCAGCCTTATCTGTTCAAATCTCAGTTTATTCCCTCCTCTGAATCTCTTGCATGCAGTTGTGGAGGAGGGGGAAAGCCACTGATTGTCCTGGGAAGTCAGAGGTCTGGATAATCCCTCCCTGCTCCCTTGGGGAGTTTTGTTGACAGGTCAGACCTGACAAGCTGGAATGTCATGGTGTAAATTCCATCTTTTTGGAGCACAGCATGGACTGGCTGCTCAATCCTCTTCTGTTCCTCGTCATTTTCCCCAGCTGCAATTTCTCTGTTGATTCAGACTGGGGAAAAAAGCCTTCACAGAAAGCAAGCACACAAATAGGTGTGTTCCCTCCCTGAATGTTTATTCCCTACACTTTTGGGAAGGCAACGTCCCACAGCAAGTCTTGGAAAGGCACTGGAAGTCTCAGGAGCTGTTGCTGAGGGAGGGAGGGCAGGGAGCTGCATTGCCCCCTGAGCCCTGGGTCACTGGAGATGTTGGGCAGCCTGAGGGAACCTGCACAGAGATGATGCTGCCCAGCCCATTCCCACTGCTGCACTCTCCCTCTGGAGGCCTCCAAAGGCAGCCCTGCACCTGCTTCCCACCACCCCCAGGCTGGGAAAGGGGCTGGATACCCTTCCCAAAGCCCTGCACCCTCTAAGCAAGAGCAGAAGTGCTGAAATCCCACCAGGGCTCACCTGAGATGTGACTTCTCCTCCAGGCAGGCAGTGGCTGCTCCCTCTCCAAAGGGGACAGGAGTGTGACCACTGGATGGAGGAGGCTTGGACCCTCCTTCCAAGGCTTTGTCTGGGTGTCCCACAGCAGCTCTGAGCCTTCAGCTGCCTCTTGTCCCTCCTCTTCCTCGGGGACTGGTGAGCTGCAGGTGCAATCACCATCCCACTTCTCACACCACAGGGATTGAGAACCTTTGGGATTGGGAATCCCCTGGTGTGGCTGACAGTGGTCTGTGTCCCCAGGAAATGGCTCAGTAAAGCACTTTAATGCTTTAAAGCTTTTGCAACAACCACTCACATTTCCAGCGTTCCCGGGGCTGTTCCCAGCAGTATTAATGGATCACTCTGTGATAGGAATTGTATTTTTTGTAATGTTATCTTTGGAAAATGTGTTATTTTTATAGCTGTGGTTACTCTTTGTTTTGTTTTGGGTTGTTTTTTTGTTGGTTTGTTTTTGTAACACAATAAAAGCACATGTGGGAATTCTTGCATTTGGAAATTAAAACTGGACAGAAAGTGCCCTCTTAACCCAGAGTAAACCTTCAACTGTAGGACCTCAAAGGACCTAAAGCTACTGAAACAAAAAAGAAACCCACCATTGTGTACTAATCTGCTACAGCAAGTACAGAGGCAAAAAACAGCTTCTGGACACATAAAACTTTTTTTTAATAAATGGCTAAAAAATAGTGAATGGAATGGAGAACAAGCATTAAGACACAGTTTTTCTGAGCTTGAAAAATGACACTGTTAAAAACAATTTCCCAAAAAGAACACATTATTCTAGTTTTAGGAGTATATATTCCACAGATAGGAATTGGAAATTGATTCTTGCAAGAAGTTTATAAACTAATGCCTTGGAATGGAAGAAGTCTAGAATGTTGTTGTAATTCAATAAAAATACAAAAAAAAGGTTTCGAAAGATCTTGAAAACTGGCATGTGACAGCCAGACAGGAACAGTCAGAGCCACACATCTTCAGAAAGCTCCACACACATGAGAAAGGTCCAAAGCTCCTGGCAGACACTGCCTGGCCTGTGGCTCTGCCTTCTGCTGTCTGTGTCCCAAACAGGATCATGGAACCCAGACTGGTTTGTTTGGAAGGAACCTTAAAGCTCATCCCATCCCACCCCAACACCTTCCACTATCCCAGGGTGCTCCAAGCCCTGTCCAGGCTGGCCTTGAACACTCCCAGGGATGGGGCAGCCACAGCTGCTCTGGGGAATCCATTCCAGCCCCTCACCACCCTCAAAAGGAAGAATTCATTCCATATATCCACTCTAAACACACTCACAGATGCTCCTGTGGTTTTTTGAGCATTAAATAACCTCCCTTGTGCCACTGCTGGGAAGGCACCTGCTTGTGACTGCTCCTCCAGGCAGAGGAGAACAGTAACTGTTCCCTCTCCAAGGGGAGACTTCTCTCTGCTCCCAGCTACTGGTGGTATTAGACCACCCTGCCTGGCCCGAGGAGCATCCCTCTTCTCCCAGGAAAACAGAGCTCTGTGGCCACCTGGATGAAACCACAGAGAATTTCTTGCAGGCTCTGGCTGACATGGTAGGAACCCTGCCCTGCCCCAGCACCAAGTGCTTCTGGTTCAGCAGTGCCTCTGTGTGCTGGGCATTCCCAGTGGGAACACCAAAACCACCATCCAGGCTTCTGTTGAGCCACTGGGTGGGAGTGGCTGTCACACAAGCTCAGCCTTGACCCCAGGTGGATCCGTGGCACTGCTGTGCAAGTCCACAGCAGATCTGCTCCTCCAGGACTGCTCGGCTGCTGCAGCCACCTGGATGGTCCAGAGGAACTGCTCCTTGGTGACCACGGGGGGCTCCTGGCCTGTGGGACAGGAACAAAGCACTGGATGAAACCCATTGTCCCTGTGAGCACAGATCCCACCACAGCACTGGGGCTGCAGGACTTAAAACATTTCAGCCCCTTCTCCTGCCCTGTCAGTGCAGCCACAACAACTGAAATACTGCTGAATAAAAATAGCTTGGACTAGATGGTCTTCAAAGCATCTTGGTATCCAAGCCACTCCATGATTCTGTGATTTTTATCCCTTCTGGGCAGCCAGGACTCTGGCTGAGGATAGTGTGGACTAGATGGTCTTCAAAGCATCTTTGTACCCAAGCCACTCCATGATTCTGTGATTTTGATCCCTTCTGGGCAGCCAGGATTCTGGCTGAGGATCTCTTGGCTGTCACAAACAGCAGTAAGGTCCAAGGCAGTTTCCCCTCCCAACTCTCATTTCTTCCCAGCAGAGTTTCAGATCATCATTCCCCACCCATCTCCATGACCTGACATGGTACATCCTCCAACAAAGCCAACCCAAAGCCACCAATTTAAGCCTTGTCCCACCTTTCAGGGTTCTCAGGAAGTGCCTAAAGAGCTCCCTGTATGCATCTCTGTAGCGCTCAGCTTGTGTCTGGGGACAGATGGACACAGAAGTCCCATGCTCTGTGATGCCCAGGGGGTTCTGGTTGTCCACCCTTAAGGTCCCTTGAGACCCATGAACCTGAGGGAAGGAGCAAAACAGGGAAGAAAGAACATTTTTAAGTTACCACATTTTCAATCTCACACAGATTCTCACCAGAAAAGTCCTGGTTTGTAAAACCAAGACTAAAGTAGGTTCTGAAATGAGGAGTCACATCTGCCCCAGTCCTGGTATGGCTCAGACACAACAAGAACACCATGGATCTGCTGTAGTACAGTGGCTTCCACTTGTGTGATCAAAGCAAAGCCCCTTTTACAAGTCCCTAACAGAAATTCCTCCCCAAGACCAGCCCCCATAGCTGTAATTATTCATTACTGTAGGAATCTACACTTTTCTTCCTCTTTCATATGCAGGATTCCTGCTACACAGCTGAGACCACCTTGGAAAGGACAAAGGAAATCTGCACAATTTCAGCCTCAGGAGAGCTGACCTGTTCCTGCTCTGATATGATTCATGTAGCTCTTAACACCACATAATGCATGGGACAGAGAGAAAATTTGGGTGAGGAAAGAGAAAGTGGATTGTAGATTGGAAAAGGACAAGAAGCCACTGCTGCTGAGGCAACAGCCAAACAAACATGTGGCACTTAAAGCTCTGCTCTGGGTGACAAGGTGTTGGATTTGATGATCCTGGAGGTCTTTCCCAACCTCAGTGATTCTGTAACAGAGGGGTTTTGGGAAAAGTGCTGCAGGCACACTCAAAGAAGTCAAAACAGACTTGACTGAGCAGCAGGACCCCACCTCCAGCCGCTGGTCACAGCTCCTGGTGCAGTGCTGGCTGATGTCCAGGGTGACAATGGCTCCGCTGGGGAACTTCATGCTGATGGTGACCGTGTCCACATCTCTCAGGCAGCCCATGTCTGGGGACAAAACAGGCCTGGCTCATCCCAGGAACAGCAAACCAGCAAGTTCTACAGCTACAAACTGCTGTTCTTCCTTCGGGAGGTGACACTGGCTTTGTGACAGCTTCCCACAGCACCCCAGCGGCTTCACCAGCATTCCTGATGGAACACAGGCAGTTCTGCAGGAACACACAGCCCCAGGCCCAACTCCACCTTCCCAGCCTGTAGCTCTCTAATGAGGGCACCCACCTGTGCTTCCAGGATCAGGCAACTTCCAGCACGTTCCTGGAGCAAGGCAGAGGGTACAGAACCCTCCTGGAGGGCTCTTGTTTGCTGCATTTCAATGTGTGCCATGGAAAAGAGCATTGCATCCTGCCCCTCCTCACCCCAGCCAGCCAAGCTTGGCAGCTGCTGCAATTTCCTTAAAACTCTGCATTTCCATTTCAAAAATGGCAGCTTCCACCTTTTATGGTTGGTTTAAATGAGTGTGGTAACCCAGAGCGAGCATATCAGCCCAACATGACCCAGAGCAAACACACAGCTTTGTGCTGGGATCCACAGGGAAGGGCCAGAGGGAAGCAGAGAATGAACATTTCATTGACATTCTTGTGAGCTCAAGCCTTAGCTCAGTTATTTTCTGCACTCTGGTTTCCAAACCTGGTGTCCTGCAGAGTCGTGTTCAATGATAACTCCACTGCAACTGCTTCACATCAGCAGGAGATTCACCAGATTCAGAGATCTTCACCAAATACCCCCAAGGAACCTGCCTTCTGTTCCACCAGCCTGTTAATTCAGCTGCTCCATAATGGAACAATTGTCATGGCTATAATGCTCTCGTTCCTTCTTCCTTTCTAGTTTTAACCCTGAACTCCAGAGGTACCCAATAAACCATCAAAAGACTCATTCTTACCTGCACAGAAGGCATGACCCAGGGAAAATATTGTATCTGGCACACTCTCTCCCAACAGCAAACTGATAATATCTATGTCATGCACAGCAGCATTGTAAAAAATTCCACCTGGAAGAACCAAAACTGGGCATTAATGTCTCCATATTGAAACCCACAGCCAAGGTACATTTCTGAACTGCACAGAGATGGTATAAAAAGCCCCCACAGTGAAGAAACTAATAAAGGGACAAAAAAATACACAGAAATGAAGTTTGGTAAAGAAAACACTCCTCAAAAAACACTCCTCCCCATGGATCAATCTTAAGGCTATACAAATTCAGGGGAATTCCCACAGAACACAGAGACATTTCCAGGTTTTGGATCAGCCTGGTCTGGTTACGGCGTCTCTGCCCATGGCAGGGGGTGGAACAGATGAGCTTAAATGTCCTTTCCCACCCAAACCATTCCATGACTCTGAGTGAGGGGAGCTGCTGGGTACCTGAGGCTTTCAGCAGGCTCAGAGAGGCTGCAGGATAGAGGCTGCTGATGGTTGATATCCGGTGGATGCTGCCCAGGGCCCGGCTGTCCCGAACCTTCTTGTACAGGAACTGCAGGGCTGGGTCAAAGCGCCTTCCAAGGGAAACAAGGATGAGGTGGTTAGGAAAATTAATCCACAAACATCAGAGGTTTATGTCCAAAAAGGAGACTGAGGAGTCTTTTTTGGCTTTATTTGAATAAAGGCAGAGGCCATGGGGCATTCCCCTGGGATCTCTCCAATTTTTGGAGGATGCAGCCTCCTTTTTATCCCAATTTCCCAACCACATTTCACTTCTCTCTTTCCCCACTGGCTGAGGTACTTGAGAGGTTCAGAGTTCCCAAAACACCTGATCCCAAAGATTTCCCTCTAATGTGTATAACCCTCCCTTTTGATTTTTAATTCTTATGGAATTTAGGGGTTTTTCTTCCCTACTGTTTCTTTTGTCTCTCAATGTCTAATTTCACTGATCAGCAAACCTAAAGTTTATTTATAAAAGCAAATATCTGTTTCCTTTCACCAATCAGTGAAATCCTTCCCATTGTTTTTTATCTCCCAGTGCCAGTTTTATCTACCAGCAGACCCACAGCTTGTTTGTAAAGACAAATCCACTATTCCTCTCAAGGTGAAACCAAGCTGATTTGAGGACCAAGTCAGGAAAGCCTGAGGAACATGGGATTTTATAAAGATTAAATCACAGGAAAACCACTGGTCTTACTTGTAGAACCCACACACGAGTGGCCTCCCACACCTGTCGGCCTCATCAAAACAGGCTTCTGCTGTCTGTCTGTCCAAGCTGGGCAGCCCCTCACAGAACACACCTTTACCTGTGCAAAACAGGACACACACAGGGCTCAGGGGAGACACAGCTGCACAAAACACCTTGATCTTGCAGGAACAGCTCATTACATTTCTGGTTTTGATGGCATTTACCCCCTTCTGCCTGTCTGCTGTGGTTTCAGCTGTCCCAGGAGTGGGACTGCCCAGTCATACTGGGACCAGCATAGCACAAACCCCACTGGTGTCCAGCCATTAACATCAGCAGGGATCTCAGTCACTAATTACACAATTTGAGAGCCTGCACAGCTCCAGGGCTGCTGCTGAAACACAAACACACTCACAAGTGCACACCAGTGGGCACAGGGAAAAGCTGAATGTGCAGCTGCTCCTCTCACCTGCTCGTAAGGCATCTCTTACCATCTCAGGGGCTTTGTCAGGTGGGGAACAAATAATGGCTCCAGAAACTCTGCAGGAATAACAGAGATCTTCAGTAAGGACAAGCTTTTCACTAGATCAAACAATGCTCAAAAGCTCGATTTGGTTACAGTTAAAAAAACCTAAAACCCCATTGCTCTGGAAGAGCCAGCTGGGTTATAGAAGGAACTTGGTGCCTGCTCCAAGGATGAAATATAGTGACACACATAGGTTAAAATCACAAGTGGCACAAAGGAATTGCACTACTTTTCCTGCATCTTCTAGGAGAAAATCTTTTAAAGGTTTCCTTTACAAGGGATTTAAATCCAAAGTATTTATGTGGTAGAGCTGCTGATCAATGCATTTTAGCTTCCTGTGATTCTTTACTTTCTAGTATCAAATCTGCCTTTCCTAAAAGCTCTGCCTTTTGCTCCTGCAATATTTTAGACCTGACAGCAACAGCACTTTACTGATGTTACAGTTGTTCAGTTCAACTGGAAAGCAAAACGCCACAGCCCTCCCACAATTTACACCAAACCTTGCTTATCTCAGAGCTCCAAGAGCCACCAAACTCAGCCGACTGCTGAGCCAGGGAAACTGGCAGGCAGCAGGGAAGGTGCCATTTATTATTGTTCTGTGGGACTGGAGGAAATTTTTTATTTTAATTTCTTAGCAAAACAAGAAGAGGGGAAGGCAAGGCTTGTATGGAATCCCCCCACCCTGAGAAGAGCCACATCCAGGAGCTGGTGGCCAGAGGCACAGTCTGGGGCTGCTACAGAGTTTCCCAGAGGGGAAGACAAGGCTTGCATGGAACTCCTGCCCTGGTCAGTACCGTGGATCACTGAGTGCGATGGTGGCCTCCTGCTGCCGCAGCACCCTGGTGCCAGCCAGGACCTTGGCACCAAAGGCTCGTTCCACCTCCTCCAGCTGATCCTCCACCACGTAGAGCAGGCAGCAGCCAGCTTCTTCCAGCAGGGTTTGCAACAAGGCTGTGCTCACAAGCCCTGCGCCGAAGAGCACGAGGCCGACACCGCTGCAACTGTGACATGAGGAGGGTGTCAGGCTGTTGGAGGCATCAGGCGCGGGCCCACTTTGGCCAAGAGGTGCAATCCTGGTGTAGGAGGTGGCCAGCGGTGAGGGGTAGCTGGTAGAGGTGGAGGGTGTTGGGTCATCCCTGTGTGTGGCGGCGATGGGGTGGTGGGGAAGCAGAAGTTTGTTGTAGGATGGTGGAGAGGGGATCATGCTGTAGCCAGTGCTGGATCCAGTGGTGATGAGGAAGGAAGGATGGGAGAGCAGGGAGGGCACGTCGAGTGGCAGGGGCAGGCTCAGGCTCAGGCTGGAGTCGGGATCTGCAGAGCTGAGGAGAGAGATATCAGAGGATCAGAGAATATCCTGAGCTGAAGGGGATCCACAAGGATCATCAAATCCAACTCTTGAGAACACCCCACGTAAGAACAACCCAAGAATGCCACTATATGTTGTCCAAATGCTTCCTGAGTGGGGTCAGGTGAGACAGACATAATTAAAGAATCATTAAAGTTGGACAAGACTTCCAAGATCATCAAGGCAAACCTTTGACTGAACACCTCCTTGTCAATTAAACCACACCACTAAGTGCCACCCACAGCTCCCTCAGGCACTCCTCATAGGACTGACTCCCCAGCTCCATGCCCTTCTCTGGCCACACTCCAGCCCCTTAATGTCTGTTTTGTAGTGAGGAACAGAACTGGGCACGGCACTTGAGAAGCCTCAGCAGTGCCCAGGACAGGAGGACGGGCACTGGGGACACTGTTCTGGGGTCGGGTGAGACTGAGATGGAGCGAGTGAGGCAGGGAAAGGCCGGGTGAGCCCGAGCAGGGGTCGGTCGGGTGAGGCTGAATGAGGCAGGGAAAGGCCGGGTGAGCCCGAGCAGGGGTCGGTCGGGTGAGGCTGAATGAGGCAGGGAAAGGCCGGGTGACCCCGAGCAGCGCTGTGTCCCTCACCGGAGCCCCGGGGCGCGCAGTCCCAGCTGCCGGAGCAGGCGGCGGTTGCGGCAGTGGCGGCCCGAGCTGAGGTGCTCCAGGATGCGGTCGCGGCGCACCCTCAGCGGCAGCTGGCACGGCGTGCACAACAGCGTCTCCACGGCGCCCGCCGGGCCCGGGCCCGGCCCCGCCGGCTCCCGCCGCACCGACAGCTCCGAGAACTCGGCCGCGTAGTCGTGCAGCGTCTTCCTCCTCCGCCCCATGGCCCGGCCCCGCTGACTCGGAAGCGGAAGGCCCGCCCGCCTCACGCCGTTGCCCGGCAGCGGCCCCGCTCCGAGCCCCGAGGAGACGGGAGAGACTCCGGGAGAGACCCCGGCTCAGCCCCAGCCCCGGGCGATGGAAGCCGATGACTCGCAGGAACCAGAGCTCGCCGAAACCATGGGACAGCTCCAGCAGGAGCTGCGGAAAGCCAAGGATGACCACAAGATGGCCATAGGTACCGCGGGAGGTGCCCAGAACACGCCTTTACCTGCCTAGGTTTCCTTCAGTTCGGCTCCTTTCACCTTGGAAACATTGCAGGGTATCGCTCACAGGGTGAAAAGCCGCTTGTTTTGAGATCACTTTTTTTATGCCCTCGGAAGTGAAGACCATGAGAAAACCCAGCAGAGAAAGCGCTGAGCAGAGTGGCAAAGCAGAGCTCAAGGTGCCCACTCTGCGTGTCCTCAGAGCAATGCCCACCTCAAAGCCGGGTTGTTTAATACACATGGAATCACAGAATGGTTTGGGTTGGAGGGACCTTAAAAATCACCCAGTCTCACCCCTGCCATGGGCAGGGACACCTTCCACTATCCCAGGGTGCTCCAAGTCCTGTCCAGCTTGGCCTTGGACACTGCCAGGGATGGGGCAGCCACAGCTCTGGAAAACCTGTGCTGGGGCCTCCCCACCCTCACAGAGAAGAATTTTTTCCATATATCCACTCCAACCCTGTTCTCTATTAGTGTGAAGCCATTCCCCCATATACTGTCACTCCAAAACCTTGTAAACAATTTTTCTTGTCATCTCCTTGTGGTACTGGAAGGCCACAATTAGTCACCCTGAAGTGAAACTACCTTTTTCTTCTCCAGGCTGTACAAACCCACAAACCACATTATCACCCAGAATTACTGTGGCTGCAGCATTAATGTGACCCAAGTCTGGTCCCAGACTGTTCCCATAGTGGCTTTGCTTATGCTCACCTGAAAAAAGCAGCCATAGAGTGTTCAACAGGGATTTGCTTTGCTAACAGAGTACTCTCCCACTTCACAGGTGCCATCTCTTCCTTGCAAAGACAGATGGAGATCCAAGAATCCGAGCTTCGGAAAATCAGATCTGAAAAGGAACTGCTCCAGAAGCAGCTCAGAGAGAGAGAAGTCCAGCTCCAAGCTGTGTCTGACAAGGTACGGCCCAAGAGCGTGGTGGCCATGGCTAGCAGGAGACACAGCAGCTGGGAATTTGGGATTTTTGCAACATCCCTCTCTCACAGGCAGGAGGGAGGGGAACCTGTAGCTGTGAAACTGAAGAGTAAAATATTCTCCTTCCAGTTTTGCAGCCTGACAGAAGAACAGAGGCAGGAAGAAGCAGTGGTGGCGATGGTGGAGGAGAACCAAAACCTTCAACAGGTGAATTTGAGCAAAGCCTCTAGAGAAAAGTCTGGTGTTTGCTACTTCACTGGGCTGGTTTTAGGGCTGGTGGCATTTAGCATATAAAACCCCCACTCAATCCAAGTACTTTTAGAGAAAAACACCAAATTATAACAGTTATCAGTACTGGTGAGATTGTCAGTCCAGAGATTCTGCCCAGGAAACATTTGGACCAAACAGTGGGAAAATGAGGCCAAACTTGCTCACTTTCTTCTCCCCAGTGACAGCTGGATTCCTGTATCTGCACAGGTTGTCGCAGAACAGGAATTCCAGCTGGCTGAGCAGAACAAGCTCATCAGTGAGCTACAGGGGACAATCAGCCAGCTGCAGGCTGAGGCTGTGAGCACCCGCCTCCACCTCCTGGAGCAGAAACAGGCCCAGAGGGAGACCCAGAGGCAGCTTGAGGCATTGCAGCACACAGAGCTGCAAACCAGAGTGGCACTGGAGCTCATCAGCAGCAAGGTAAGCGTGGCCTCTTTCACCTCAGAGCCCTGTCTCCCTCTTGGGAATCTCAATCTATTTGCTCCCTAGCTGTGGAGCAGGCGGCTCTTGTGCCACTTAAAAAGAGACCTCAAATACCAGAAACTCTTGAGAAAGGTGAGTTCAGGTCAGATTTCTAACATCCTTCCAGACCCAAGGTAACAAGAAGCACCCTAAAGTCATCTCCTGCAGGCAGATGTGCCAGGGAAAGAGCCTTGGCCCACTAGACCCACATGGTTACCACAGCACTTTCACTGAAGCCCAAACTGCCTGTAATGTCACATAAACACAACACAGTCTCTGTAAATCAGTGCAAATGCCAATGAACTGCACATAAACCCTGAACACACCTGCTGTTCTCTTTTACCCAAAGTTTGAAAGGTACAGAAACAAAATAATCCAGGCTACGTTCAGCGTGGAGGGCATCCAGGACCCCCAGGGCGAGCTCACGGATGATGACGTGCTGGAGGCAATGCAGGTATGTGGCTCTTGCAGACAGCTTCCAGCAGCCAGGAGGGGACTGCTGAGGTAAGAGAACACTTTGCAGTGCTGTTCCCAACCTTCCCACCTCTTCACACATGGCTGGTTTTCAGAAAATCTTCAACGAGCGGACGGAGTTCCAGCAGATGCTGAAGAACAAGGGCAGCAGGACATCCCTGCTCAGCAGTGACAGCAGCACAGCATCACCAGCAAGGAGAAGGAAATCCTCCAGGATGGAAAAGCTCTGAAGGCTGAGCCAGAACCCATCACCAGCTCAGGTTCTGGGCTCTCAGCTTGGAGCTGGTGCCTTACAAGAAATAAAACTCATTTTACTGACACCAAGTTCTGTGGGAGTATCTGATTCAATTGTTTCAGCCATGTTAAAGCCATGCTTTAAATGGTTAAAGCAAATTTCTGACACTTCTTCAATTTGATTGTTCAAGATATAACTCCTGTAAGTTCATTGGGAAGAAAATTTGTGAAATCAGAATGGGCTGAGTTTTCCCATGGCAAATTTCAAGTGCAGCAATTATCTGTCCCCTGTATTCCCTGGTCTATGTTAATTCTGAATCAGAACACAAGTTACTGCAAGTCCTTGGTCTGCAGTAACACTTGACTTCCCAGAGGAGCCTGAAGCACAAGGCTGGCTTGGCTACAAGCAGCTGGGCAGTGTATAATTCCCATTTTAACCTTGGGAAGTTTTAAGTGACCTGACTGAACATCCCCCAGTGACAAAACAAGGGACAGTGCCAGGGCTGCAAAAGCTGTTTTATTTTTCCATTCCATGTGCAAGTCCCAACAACATGGGGATGCATTTGACATAGCAGCAGTTCAGTTGGAGCTCTGAGATGTCATTTTTTACCAGAAAAGAGTCAGTCTGGGGGCCACCTTGCCTTAGGGAGAGGTGTGAGTGCACACCAGTGCGCACCCACACATATGGAGACTGCCAGACAAGAACTGCTCCAACTGCCTGTATTTTGGAAGTGCTCACCCACAGTAACTCTCTGGGCACACACAAGGTCACCACAATTCCCACAGGGATGGAGGATGGCCCTGAAGTGCACTGAGACACACAAACCCTCAACAAATCCCTTAAAAATGGAAGCTGTGCTCATGCCTGAACACAAAAACCGTCACTTTAAAATGCATCCCTCAAGTTCTGACAGCAATTAAATGCTTCTGACACCAACTAAATGTTCACAGCTACTCCAGATAAAATTCTGCAGAACAAGATGTCAGCAAAGTGCTTTGGCATTCTGGCTCCAGGTTGTACCCAGCAGAGGACCTCAGTTCCACACTGTCAATTACTGCATTTCTCTGCTGCCATAAAAATGATCCAGATGAAACACCAGGAGGAAAAAGTGATCTTGCAGAAAAATGTGACTGTGCTTGTTTTAAACGGCTTCTCTACTGCATTCTGACATCCACCAGCTTCTCTGCCTTCAGTCCATGTTTGAAGATGCTGCTCTTTTGCACAGGTGATCTCTGTTAAGGATGACAATCCCAATTCTCCTTGCTGTAGCTCACCAAACTCTGAAGCCATTGCTTTCCCAGCAGGATGCTCCACATCTTTTCTTTAAAAACCCAAATCATCTCACTGTGCACCAGTTGTGTTGTTGAATATACGTAAAAAAACCCAAATAAAGGCAATGGAATCCTCTCTCAGCTCAGGCAGCTGCTAACGGATCACAGTCAGCAGAGAGGCCACTGTGGCCAGGTCAGTTTTGGAAGGATAAAGTACTTTCAAGTTTCCATCCGTGTCCACCACTCGCACCTGCTCCACCACCAAGGGCAGGTTCAAATTCCCTGCTCCACAGAGAGCATCTGATTCCATATCTGAGCCAGAGCCTTCCTTGTTCTCCAAGGCAGATCTGTTCAGCTCTGCAATTTTCTGTTAAAAGCAAAATACAGAGAACAACATCACTTCTGTGGCAGGGAACGAAGAGAGGGAGTAACAATACTACAAAGATACAAATCAACTTCTGTGTTCTTCTCAACGCATGTGAGCAATGACACATTTGGTAGGAGGCCCCCCAAGAACAGAAGAATATTTTCCTGAACTCCCTACCAGGATAAGGGTGTCCATGACATCTTTGCAGATCTGTAAACTGGTATCACTCGTCACTTCCAGAAACAGGTCCCGGGTCTCTTTTCTAATCTGTAAGAGTTTCAGAGATGAAGCAAGTCAGGAGTCAGAGCAGCTCACCCACAGCCCCCTGGACACATCCCAGGGCACAGAGTGAAGGCTTTCACCCTGTTTAATCAGGGGCAAAGCTCTGCTGTTCTTTACAAATAAAAAACCATACTATTGCCCTTCCAAAGCTTTTGCACAGGCAGACTGGGGCTTTGGAACAGATTTAAAGAGGTAAAACTGTAACTGCCAGATCCCTCTCAGTCTGACAGTGGAGCCCATATAAACTCTAAGAGTTTATACTTGGACTACAAGCACAAGTTTCACAGAACTGTGTATGCCTTTGACTTAAACATCTCTCAACAGAAAGAAACACTGCTTAGTTATTAATGTATTTCCATGAATGGGAAGTACCTTTGTTTTCTCACTATTGGTTATTGGTGGGAAGGAAATCACAGCACCTTCAGCATCCACCAGGCACGGGTAGCTGTCTTTGCCATCCAGCAGCTGCAGGTACCTGCCACGAGAAACAAAGCAGCAAGAAGTGAGCAACAGAGAGAGCAGCTGGACACAAGGGCAGGAAATAGTGACAAAAAGGAATCAGTGTGTGATCTCAGCACTGCTTTACAGCCCATTTACTACTACATCAAGTTTACCTCATCTCTGATTCCCTCAGCTCACAGCACGTGCACCACACACCCTTCAACCCTCTCTGCTTCCCTTCTATCTGCTGTTCTGAACACATCTGCCACATCCCCAGTGCAGTCACCTAAATGTATGTGGGAAAACCACAACAAGGCACTGACTTGTGCAGCCCAGAGACATTCTGACGCTTCTTCTGCTTCCGCTGCTCCTCAGCCTCCAGCTGCAGCTGCCGGAGAAGATCTTTGGCCTTGATCTCCTTCCGACCCAGGGGCGTGATCTGCACCACACAGGAAAACAAAATATTTTTGTCACAGACAACTTTTATGAAAAATCCTTTCTTTAGGATTTTTTTTCCTCCTGAGAAGCTGAGAGGCCTCAGGAACAAAATGTAAACATTGATTATCTGCTGCTGCAGAATGCAAAAGGTGGATCTGTGATTGGTCTCATGTGGTTGTTTCTAACTAATGGCCAATCACAGTCAGCTGGCTCAGACAGACAGTCTGAGCCACAAGCTTTTGTTACCATTCCTTCCTATTCTATTTTTAGCTAGCCTTCTGATGAAATCCTTTCTTCTATTCTTTTAGTATAGTTTTAATGTAATATATATAATAAAATAACAAATCAAGCCTTCTGAAACATGGAGTCAGATCCTCGTCTCTTCCCTCATCCAAGAACCCCTGTGAAAACCGTCACACATTTTAACTGAATTTCACTCAAACACCAGGGTTACAACACTCCCCTGTAAGCAAGTCAATAATTAAACAATATCCCTGCATGTTGTCATGCCTTTTTCAGCATGGAAATAATTTCCATTTCACATGGATTGCTGTAGCACCCACTTGAAAAACATTCAGCCGCTAGTACTAAACCAGGCACCTGGTACAGCAGGACAGCAAGGAAATCAGTACAACATGTAAAGTTCCTGGAGTTTGTTTTCTAGGTTCTAGGGGATAAGAAAACATCTTTAAGCCCTACCTTGAGCTCGTCAGGAGGCTGAACATCATATGTCAGAGGAGCTTTGACCAGCTGCAAGTCATGGGTGGCAATGGTGGCCACTGTGCGCTTCTCACAGATGTCCTCGTGCAGCTTGGTCTGAAACAGAGAGGATGTCATCAAAAAAGGTGAAAAAGTCAATGTAATTTATCCCTACTATGTGCAGATTTTTCTGTATTTAGTGTTGGCAGCACTAGGTGACTAAAACAGAGCCCTTCCCTTCACCTGGACCTCCGTTACAGCCCAAACGCAAAGGTAGCAAAGCCTGACAACATGCGACATGTTTGTCTACAGGGAAACCAAATTTTAAGTCTGAAAGCAATCCCAAATATTTAAGCCTTGCAACCTGAAAGCAGCTCCCACCTGCCACCTAAGGTCTGTGAGCAGGATACCTCAGTCAGGAAGCTGGGAGTGTAACAGGGTTTTAACAGATCAGGGACGCTGGAGCCAATCCAGGGGATCTCTACACATGGACACAGGGTTATTTTTAGCTTTTAACAGGTTCCACAGCACTAACAAGCTGCTGTTACAGTCACAACACAAATGTGAGTGTGTCCATTTCCCTCATAGCAATACCTGAGCTCTGATGGGTATTTCCCAAAACCAGTTCTGCTGATTTCAGACTGACTGGGCATGTGCTGCTGGCAGGGACAGCTCACCCTGAACCCTCACAGCTGCTGGGTGAGGAGCTCACCTTAAGTTTCCAAACTCATCTGCTGGAAGAGGCCTAGAACAGTCTATTTCCAACTCTGCCAGCAACATTCCCACTCCAAATGAGTACCACGAGGCTGCAGCTGTTACCTGCATGGTCAGGAACCTCTTGAGAGCATTGCCCGGCTTTAAGTTCACTCCTTTCAGCACACAGCACACGATGAAGGCTCGCACATCCTTGACGCTCGGGCTCACTTTGACCACCAAAGGCGCTGGGTTCTCAGAGATGTGCAGAACCTTCACCAGCAGCTTGCTCGCCTCTTCCACCTCATCCTGCTCCCCATCCCCACCATCCTTCTTCTGCTGCTTCTCCCTCTTCTTCTTCCTGACGTCCTCTCTGCCAGTCTCAGCCTTCCCCTTCCCACGTCCCCCGGCCCGTAGGTACTCCAGAATGGCCTTGGTCTGGCACCCATTGACCATCTTCTCCAGCCGCTTGTCCCTCAGCTGGTTGCCCTTGAAGTTGGCCTCCTTCAGGCGGGGGCAGTCGGCCAGCGCGGCGGGCAGCTCCCGCAGCTGGTTGTTGGCCACATCCAGGCTCTGCAGAAGACAGAGATGGGTCAGGGGTGAGCGATGGGGATGCTCTGGAGGAGACAGAGGTGGGACGGTCAGAGGTGCGCGATGGGGACACTCTGGAGCAGAGATGGGGCGGTCAGGGCTGCCCCAGGGGACACTCTGGACAAGACAGAGATGGGGCGGTCAGGGATACACGATGGGGACGCTCTGGAGGAGACAGAGATGGGACAG